TAGAGATCGTCGGAAGTTCGCCGGAAGCTCGCCAAACGAAACCTAGACTTACCGGACTTATTTAGCTTAGTATATGCCTTAAATTTCATAGTTAGCACATAATTGGGTTAGAATTGGGCCAACTCAATTAGGGGCCAATTGGGCCTAAGTTTGGACTATGTTGGGCCAAGTAAAATGCCCAATAGTGACCCAATAGTGACCCAACAGACTAGGCGGTTGTACCGCCTAGTGTTAGTGCTACAAGCGATGGTACCGCCCAACACAGGCGGTGGTACTGCCAAGACTCGGGAAACCCAGGATGAGATACTTTTAGGCTTCAAGTTTGAATCCACTTGAAACCTATAAATACCCCTCTTATCCCTGATTAACTTACACATAACTGAGAGCAAAAAGAAAAGAAAACGCTATTGTAATCTTATGTGAACTCCTCTCAAACTCTAAGTGTTAGGCTTGTTTAAGAGAGGAGTGAAGGGGGGTTGTAAAGGTTCTCTCCTGAACCTATCAAAAGGAGAATCGAGTTGTAAGGGTAGTTAATCTTCACCCATTAAAGAAAGATCGCTAGTGGATGTCGATGGCCTCAATGAAAGAGGAATCGACAGAGTGGATGTAGGTCACGACGACCAAACCACTATAAAACTTGGTTTGCATTTCTATTCTTGCAATTTATCTTTACTGCAAACTGTTTTACCAGCTTACTGCTTTCACTACGTTTACGAACAAGATTTGAAGTTATCTTTCCGAAATTTGTTTTATCGAATGAAGAATTTTTCAAACCGATGATTTTATCTGCTGCACTAATTCACTGCCACACCCCCCACCCTCTTAGTGCCGACTAGTTCATAATAGAAAAAACCAACAAAGGTGAGGCGGCAAACTACGCCTTAACGACTTTCGACAACGAGGTAACCAAAACCCTTTTGCTTCATTTTGAAATTATTTGACGCATTTCATGAGTTATTTTTAAATTAGTTTAGAAAAATTGTATGTAAATTGGTAATAAAAAAAAATTGGGATCATGCTAGTAATTTTGAAAATGATAATGACAATTGCATGTTTTATGAAAATATAACAAAATGTTAGATATAAATCTAATGCTTGTACACCTAATAAGATTAATCTTATGTATGTTTTTAAGAAACAATAGTGTGTATCATGTTGATTTCTGGATTGCTTTTCGATTTTGATTGAAGATGCCTTATGTTCAATGAAACTATGCTTGATGTTTTAAGAAAAATGTTAAGAGGTTTGATATCATGCTTAATGAGTTTATAGTTTGAAATTGTGCATGTTAACTTGAAACTATGTTTTGGTATCATGCCCAAAATAATGATGCATAATGATCATGCTTAATGAGTTTATATTTCGAAATTATGTATGATGATTCTTATAATTTATGGCTTATCGATCTTTGCCATAATGAATGTTGTTTTTTCGGTTTTAAACATAATGCATGTTTTGATTTGGCATAAATGACAAAGGCATGCTTGTATGGAATAAAAAGGAAATACATTTTTCTTGAAAACTTCTCAATCCCTATATTATTGAGTTTTCAAAAAGAGATTGATGAATCTATTTGTATAAATCTCTTGGACTATGAAAATGATTTTGATGATTGAAGATTTTATATACATGAATTAAGATCTTGTTCTCCTATGATTCTTTTTGTTATTCACTAAAAAGAAGACTTATTCTAATAAACCATGATATGCTACTTCATCTTGATCATTTATAACTTGAGTTTTGTTATATAATATTCCCCTCTTCTTCTTTCTTATTTACGATGACAAAGGGGAGAAAGAAAATTACTAATATTTCAAGAGATTGATAAATCTCTTCATTTCATTTTGAATCTCTTGAAAGGAATTTTGATGATTTGAATTTGAATGAGTTTTATCCGAATCATGATCTTGAATTCTTAGAATTATAACTTGAGTCTTCTTTTTGAATCAAGATCGTTTCCTATCATGCTTTCTATTTACAAAAGAAGAAATTTGTCAAAAATAATATATGGTCTTTTGACATTCATGACTTAATTCTTCATCTTTGTTATTTATCCTTATCATGATTTGAAGATTGAAGTAAAGGGAAATGAATTGCACTATTGTATTGTTATTCCCCTTTTTTTGCCACTGACAAAAGGGGAGAAAGAATTGCTAGCATGCATATTATGAAAAGAGGCAAACTTGATAGCTTGCTCATCTTAAAAGAGAAGCAAGAAGTACTATCTTGCAAATCTCAATAGAAGTAATGTTTGCTAAGTTACACATTTCAAGAAGATGCAAAAATTGTCTATCTTGCTTGTCTCAAAAGATGCAAAAATTTTGCCAACTTTCATATGTGAAAAACTTGTTGGCTTGTATGTTCTAAACTAGCTATCTCGCTTTCTTTTTCAAAAACTTGCTAGTTTGAGCATCGTAAAGAAAAGCAAACATGCTAACTTACACATCTAGCAAAATTTACAAACTTGCAAAACTTAAAATTGTTGCTAGTTTGCATATTGTCAAATGATATAAAATTTCACTGGCTTGTGCTTTGAAAGGAAGCAAAAATTGCTAACTTAAACATTACAAAGGAAGTAAAAAATTACTAGCTTGCACTTCTCAAAAGAGATGAAAGAACTTACTAGCTTACATGTTCTAAATTTATAAAAAAATTTGCTAAATTGTTAAGCTTTCTTATATATAAAACTTGATAGATACACTTCTTCTTGTTGTTGATGACAGAGGGGGAGAAGGTATGATGATGATCATACATGGTATGATGTATTTATGAATGATGATTTGAAATTATGCACGTAATGATGATTTTATATTTTGAAAATATACATGATGATTTGGTATTATGCATGCAATACTTCAACTTATGATAATAATGCATGCAATAATGAAATATTCATCATGAAATATTGCTTTGACTTGAATTCAACTTGAATTCAAGGTTCTATCAATATGACATATTGATAGAGAGAGTTAAGGTTAACTCAATCATCAATTGGTTGTCATCATCAAAAAGGGGAGATTATTAAATCTCAAATTTTGATGATGAAACCAATTGATGGTGTTCATGATTTGATCTATGTTTTAAGTGACGTAGGAAGTTTCGATCAAGGAGAGACAATTAAAAGCAAGAAGAATCGTGTTGGGCCGGAGTGGAACTTGCAGAAGATTAGACATCGAGCTGGAGGACCGGTCGACATATCGGTAGAAGGCTTCGGGCCATGGGTTCGAGCATCGAGCCAAGAAGAGCAAAAATTACACCAAGAAAATTGGAGTTATGGAGGTCAACTGGCCAATTGGGCAATAGGCCGCAAGAGAGAACGATGTGCCCAAGAATCGGACAAAGTGTCGATGAACCAATGACATACCGGACAACATTTGATTCAAGCTTTGTAATAATTGTCTAGATCGAAGTAGGTTTTAAGTGTGCATGATTAACTATGATAGCGATCAAGGCATAGAGCAAAATGAAATCCCAGATTCAAGAACGAGATTTCGTTAGGAGTTCGAGAGTTCATCAAAAGTCCGGACGTTCATCGGAAGTTCAGTCGGAATTGACCGAGAAGTCCAAGAGCTTGCCAAAGAAGCTCATCAGAACTCACTATGAAGATCATCGTGAAGTCCAGGAGCTTGTTGGGACTCCGCTGGAACATTACCGAGAGATCGTCGGAAGTTCACCGGAAGCTCGCCGAAAGAAACCTAGACTAACCGGACTTGATTTGCTCAATGTATGCCTTAAAATTCATAGTTAGCGTATAATTGGGTTAGAATTGAGCTAACTCAATTAGGGGCTAATTAGGCTCAAGTTTGGGCTATGTTGGGCCAAGTGAAAAGGCCTAAACAGTGACCTAACAAGTAGAATCGTTGTGGCACAGTCTCCGAGACTATGTCATTCGATGATACCGCCCAATGTTAGTGCTATAGGCGGTGGTACTGTCAGGACCCGAGAAACCCGGGATGAGACATTTTTAGGCTCCAAGTTTTAATCCACTTGAAGCTTATAAATACCTCTCTCATCTCTGGTTAACATACATAAGAATTGAGAGCAAAAAGAAATAAAAATGCTGTTGTAACCTTGTGAGAACTCCTCTCAAGCTCTAGGTGTTAGTCTTGTTTAAGAGAGGAATGAACGGAGTTGTAAAGGTTCTCTCCTGAACCTGTCAAAAGGAGAATCGAGTTGTAAGGGTAGTTGATCTTCGCCCATTGAAGGAAGATCGGTAGTGGAAGCCAGTGGCCTTGATGGAGGAGGAATCAAAAGTAGATATAGGTCACAGCGACCAAACCACTATAAATTGGTTTACATTTCTTTTTGAGCAATTTACCTTTATTGCAAACTGCTTAACCTTCTTATTGCTTTCACTACGTTGTCATACGCTTTCAAATTAATATCTTTCCAAAACGGGTTTAATCGAAATGAGATCAGCCGACGTGATTTTTATCGGCTGCACTAATTCACCCTCCCCTCTTAGTGCCGACTCGTTCTTAACAAAATCGAGAGTGGACGTGGGTTGGGATGACCAAACCATCATAAATCAGTTTGCATCATTTTCTTATTTTCCTTTATCATTACTTATTGATTTAAACTATCGTTACTTACATTTTTAGTTAAACATATTTTCGGTATGGGTTTTATCAATTAAAAATTTCAAATCGAAACTTTATTTTAATAGTATTAATTCACCCTCCTCCTCTCAATGATTTTACGATTCTAACAACGAGCACAATATTGTCATCTCAGGAGTATAGTATTTATACCTAGAGATATTTCAGTCAACACATAGATATGTCAATCATATTTTTCCCTCATATATATATATATGTTTTGGAGAGATATAAATATATCTTAAACATAAATTTGAGGAATAAATATGAGAACAACGTATAAGCTTGTAGCAAACGTAGTCATTTTGATAACTATCATCCACGTGAACCCTAATAAATTATCAATAAATTCTTCTTTTTTTTCTTTTATTTTTAGTCGCTCAAATAGATCACGCACCATCTTATGCACATCAAGTAACGCTTCCCTTCTCGTGGACATCGATCGTACCCTGGACGAGCCATTGCAAGTACCTCCAAGGATTAACGCAGGTCTGTTGCCCCCACGCGATGAATTCCCATCTAATCTGCTACATCTCTCTCCTCTACCTCTCGTTCCCGATTCCGATTCGTTACCTAGAAACCCCCGTCCTCGCTCGAAGCGCCATTTGAAATGCCTACCCTCGGGCTTCGAGAGTTCCGGGAGAAGTTCGCCGCCCAGCTTGCCCCCTGCCACCGCTCGCTCCAGTTCTGGGTTCGAGCCGTCGACGTGTACACGACCTACAAGGTCTCCCCTTCCTCGCTCTTCCTGTCCCATAGTCTCGATCTTAATGGGCTTCTTGGATTTGCTGTTTTGGGTGTGACCAGGTGTGCCAGTTCCGAGCGGGTCTCGTCAAGGATGCGGAGAAGCGGGAGGCGATGTGGGAGAGGCAGCACGAGATCGCGGCCGTTAAGATGTACTCCCTCTGCTCTGAGCTTGGTGGGCTCTTCCTAAAGGTACCGGATTGGTCTTCTTCGTGCTTGCGGATGTCTTTTTAAATGGATGGTCTCTCTGTTGTGGGCGAAATGAGGCTTTCTTGAAAATGATCTCATTAGGAGCAATGAATTGCTTGATTTCCCAGAATGATGTCTTTGAGTTGATACTCTCAAGGTTATTTCCTTAGCAAGAAGAATGTTTTAGTTCACAACCTGTGTTCTTTCTTTCCTAGCGTTTATAATGATCTAAAATTTCATTTCAAACACTCTTCTGGCTACCTCGCATATAATCATTACCTACCTCTGTATACTTTAATATGAAAAACATGCATTATCAAATAAATTTCTTCCAAGCTTTTATCTATCCTTTACTTTTCTGCGGCATTAATGAGAGTTTCCCTCTTTAATGTGCTGTGATGCCTGGGGATTGGTTGACACATACTATGCCTTATGTTGAAGATATCAAACCTTTATTAAAATGGATTTTTCATATTCATAATCTGGAACAGCTGAAAACAAGTAGTTATCCATGAAGAGTCTTCCCCTAGAAGCAAAAATATTTTTATAACATATGACATCATATGCACCTTAAACATTGGTTTGATTGTGGTGTATCCCATAGCCACAGGTTAGGGTCCCAATTTCTCTTCAGACAAATTTTTGAAGGAGCTGGATAGCTTAGCTAGTAAAGAAACGGTGCAAGGTCTTGAGATTCAATCCCGCCGCGCCTTTACCACTTACCATTTGTCAAAGAAAAAAGGAAACATATGACACGATAAGGATATGGGGATACATAAAAACTTGAAAAATAAGATGTGTATATATATATATATATATCTATCAATCTATGTGTTGGAAAAGCTAGAAGTTGACTAGCTATTTTTAGCCACACGTGATGAAAATGTCTTTTGCTTTCGGTAATATAGTATGTCACAAACTCAGAAGATAGCAAGAACCCATTGGTAATATGCTCATTTTATTAATTTCATTCATCTTTTCTGCTTAACACAAATAACATGTAATAATCTATTGAATCATTCTGCCTATATAATCAAAGAATCAGTATCCAAGTAAAACAAAGTTTCATCAAGAAAATTTGCCTAAGCATCATAAAACCTAAAATATCATATGATTTTTTTAATGATTATAAAAAATTCAGATGGTTCCTCAAAGAATCAAACATGTGCTCTAGAAGTATCATACAAGCATCATAGATCGTACCTACGCATATCTTATATAGTTATTCCATGCTTCATTATTCTTCCCCAGTCAAATAATTTGGAACCCTGAATGAAGAGTCCTTGCATTATAGTTGCTATTTCTTTATTCTTATAGGCTTTGAGATATTCGACCTCTATCACTCAAACTACATAAACTCTTCCCGCACATTATCCTCTCATGATTTTTCTGGGAAGAAAATCCTGTATGCTTCTTAGTTCTTTCTGCTAAACTAAATCTTTTTGGACAAATTTGATTCTTAGTGGTATCAGGATTTTATCAGGCTGCACAGATTCTTGGAAAACCTGATTTAGCTCCAGCAGCATGGGTAAAACGACTGGTCACTTTATGTGATAAGGCTCCTGCTACCCCAATTTCAGTAATCCAGAAAATATTGGAGGAGGAGTTGGGACAAAATTTCAGTGATATTTTTGAGCAATTTGATGCTGAACCTCTTGGATCTGCTTCAATTGCACAGGTTCTGTTCAGAGTTCAAATATATGTGCATGTTCAATAATGATGATCAAATGCATTTACTTAGCGCTAAACTCATGCCTGTATTTTTTCATCGAAGTCTTAATTATTTGACTTAATTATATTGTTTTAAGTAGTTAATGGGTTGGTTTTCTTTTTTTTTTATATCACAAAACAATTTCTTTTTAAAAGATACATTAAACATAAAGAATATCTCTTATCAAGCATAAGACCAAACGTCCATTAAGAATAGCTCTTATAAAGTTTACTAATTAGATGTTAAGGACTAGTGCATCAAGTGTTAATATATCTGCCTTTTTATGTAGTTTCTGTTTAATAGGGTAGGAGTAACACTGCATAATCCACCTTTTAAACATCAACTATAACTTCATTGCATTTCGAAGTATCTGTTAAAATTATCATAGAATTTTAATTTATTGGTTTTGAATGAATCTTGATATGTCTGCAGTATGATTATTCTGATACTGCTGATATTTCTAATACTAGACTCATTGCTCTGATTACTGGAACTTCATCAGGGCTTTCCTTTATTTGTGCAAGAATATGTTTCTATGTTTTGGAAGCATCCAAATGATAAAATGTAATATACCATCGGCGATGCTAACATTTTGTTGTCAAAACCCACAAGTTAATAAAGTTATATTATGTTAGTATAGTAAAATCTTCATAAGCAAAGAAATTAGTAAAGTTCTAGTTTAGTCCATCGTAAATGTTGTCCAAGGTCCATCTTAGTTAATCATTGGTACTCACTAGCTTGTTGCCGGACTACATTCAACTTTTGTCTCCTTTCAGTGGTTTTGTTACAAGCCCCTTTTTCTGAATACTATCTCACCACTCATTCTGAAACCTTGTTTATCTTTCTTGATGAATTATAGCAGGTTCATCGAGCAAAACTCAGAGGTCTAAAGACTGATGTCGCAATCAAGGTTAGAAACAGCATACTTAGTACATGTGCTGTTTAATATTTTTGATTTACCATAATAATTAATTTCAGTGAAAATCTCTAGGTTCAACATCCTGGGGTTCAACATTTGATGATGATAGATATTCACAACTTGCAAGCATTTGCCTTGTTTTTACAAAAGACAGATATCAATTTTGATTTGTTCTCACTCACCAAAGAAGTTGAGAAACAGGTATTTCTATATGCTATAGTGTATTTTCTGTTTTATTTTTAATTCGTCATACCTATTTTTAAAAATATACTTCATGGTTACATAGTAGATGAAAAGTTGCAATAAGAAACCTTTGTTTTATTTTTTTATAAATGATAAAAATACTGCATATAAATGAGATTGTAAAAGAGAATGTTTAGGAAACAGATGAAAAGAAACAAGAGGTAGAATATCATAATTATGATTTAGAGAAAAGAGACTTAGCTACCAACAGCACCATTTTGTAGTTAGGGTTACAGGACCATGGGTGGCCATCAGATTTAGGATTGGATTAGCCATATCAGCTCAAATAAATCATGGAATCTCTTTTTTAGCTGACAGGAATACTGCTAAGATCTTGTAGGCAATTGGACTAATCGAATTTGGTTATACCTCTATAATCTTATGTACTATCTTCTGTCTAGCAAGTTGTATGTTAAATTTTTAATCAAATGGGTATCTCAGAGTAACCTCTGTTATATAATAGCTACAGGATCTATTTGGAATGTCCATAATCATAGGTTTGTCCTTTGGTCCTTCACTGGAGTTAAATTTTATATTTTAGCTTTGAGATTCCAAGGTTCTTGAGGACTTACCATGCTTGAACTTTTCAATAAAAACTATAAATTCATCATGTAGGTTCTACTATCAGACCATATTTTGGATGATAACTTTTACAAGCCAATATATTTTACTTAAGAAGTTGCCACTAGCTGAAGTTTATGGCTTACAACCATAAACTCCTCAATTGGGTTCCACCTAAGACTTCATAGCATGGGAGTATACTTCTCTATTTTGGTGACAGTTTCCCATGCATTGGGTATGTTAAGTCTTTTGGTGATGTAAAATTTCCAGGCTTTTTCTTCTTTTTATTAAAAAAATTATGCTTCTAATATATTGTTTCTTATTTGGCTGTGCTGTCTGCTTATTTCACGTTAACAGGTCAAGGTTAAGTATTCATATTAATCATACATAACATATACTAGAATGGTCATAATTGGATCAGACAGTAAACAGAATGATTTGTCAGAAAGTATTTCAAGTCAATGGCATTATTAAAGCATCTTAGGACTTTTATTATCACCATTCATTTTGGTAGTCTGATTGCCTACAATGGTGTAGACTTCTATCGAATATCTTTTATATGACATTTACACAATTAATATCTAATCATATTTTAAGTTTACACATGACAGTGTTGATCATTTTATAATTCACCTTATATTTCCTATGTTGATATGTTCTAATATCTTCTTATCCTTAATTCTGGTTTAGAAGATTCATTCTAGAACTGATCATGTTCAATTCGCTTGCGGTTATTTACTTCTAACTATTTTTTTCCTTTCACCTGCTTCTAAAGGTTGCTTATGAATTTGATTTCCTGAGAGAAGCTGCAGCCATGGAAAAAATTAATAAGTTTTTTCATGATAACAACAAGAAGGCTCCTGTTTTGGTACCACGTGTCATTCCAGGCATGGTGACCAGGTAAAATTATAGAATAGAGAAAATTTGTAGTTAGTCTTTATCATGACATTTGATAAAAAAGTCTAGGATATATGTATACAACTTTATTTACTTTATATTTCATGTGCGGAATCTTGTCCATCATTGAGACTAAGGAGAAAAAACTTTGGCATCTTAAGCATTTATGAACTTACTTCGCAGATTAAAAAGCCTCTGTGATGCTGGATCTTCTTTTGAACAATGGTTTACTCATGATTATTAAAAATCTCTTCCTATCATAGGGTAAACGTAAGTACAAGCTGTTAAATGCAGAAAAAGATGTCAGCTTGTCTCCAAAGCAAGGTTCGCCATACCACGGCATACCGCTCGATACGGGCAGTATGTAACGGTCCAACAGGGGACCGCTACGGGGTGGTACATTGGTATGCCCTCATATATCATGTGTCGGTATGCTCGATATGGCATGGTATATATCGTACTGGTAGCTGGTCAATACATCGGTATGGCTTAGTAATGCGAACCATGCTCCAAAGGACCTTATTGTCTATGAGCAAGAAACAAGAAATTGGTAGAAGAATAAGAATGAAAAGCCAGATAACCTAGGATATCTTTTGGTCAATACTAATGTTCACCAAACAAGTTCATGAGAAAGTAATTGCTTATATCAAGAATGATGTTACTGTAATATTGATAAGATAGCTAACCTTTGGGATAATTTTTTGACTTGGCTCTAGCTATTACAAAAAGTAAAACCAGCTAAGCTATGCTAATTTATTGAAACCCCTAATGTACAATTGTCAGACCTCAAGTTGATTATATCATTCATAAAAATGTATCTAGGAAAAATATGTGACAAAATTTGGAGACTGAAGGAGCTTACAGAGTTTATTCTAGCTCTTCCATTACCAGCTGTTGAGTTGGTATATGACATGATGCTCCATTCTGTTTGATGCCTCAATTTGCTATTGCAGGTCAACTATTGGACTATAATTAAATACTTAATAATGTTTCTAATATTTGACGGACAAAATAGGCAGTATGGAGTGCAATTTTGTTCAGATTCTTAAAAAGATGCAAACATTGTCCAACTTTACACCTTTTTGTGATGCAGGCTTGAACTTTCAATTTCGCAATTATGTGCAAAGAAACAGAAGTTGTCTGCTCTTACATTATGCGGCCTTGTTTATTCAGAAAGATCTATGCTATTTTATGTCAAGTAGATCAATTTGTTGTAAGTTCCTTATTATCAGTATGATTATGCAAAATAAGGTCCTAATAAACACTAGCAAAGAAACTAACACCATATCATCTCCTTTATCTCTTTTACCATTTCTTATTTTCTCTTTGTGAACATTCAGTTTCTCCAGATCTGCATAACAATTGCAGTAGATGTAAATGTTAATACATCAGGATTATCCTGGCATCCCCATAAATCCCTACATGTGTCTCTCGTGCTTTCTTGTTCACTATTTTTATGGTCCCGAGACATTAAATACGTATAGTACAAAACCGTTTGGCTTATGAAAACATTTGATTCAGTTGTTGCAACCTTATCAAGTTTTGAGAATCCATTCCTTGTGGCTAAATCATGTCAGTTGGTTATAGTTCCTGCCATATGCTTGCCGTATGCTGTGCCTAAGGATGCAGATATATGGCATATTGTTTTCTTGCTGTACAAGATATTAAGAGCCAAAAGTCATATTGTAAATTTGTTTCTCATGCTTACATTTGTTGTTGTCAAATATTAAAAGCATTGTTTCCACAATTTCTTGCTTTTGAAAGAATATAGTATCTTAACATTTTTCCAATTGATTAGGAAGGTCTTTGCAATGGAATTTATTGATGGTATCCCGATAATGAATCTTGGTGATGAAATGGCAAAAAGGGGCATTGATCCTGGTGGTAAATTTGCGGCACTTGCAAAGCAGTAAGCTCCTGTATCATCCGAGTTTGTTGTGTTTATACATATATATGTATATATATAAACATATAGAAACAAATGCTTAATATATGTACATATATATAAGCATAATCACATTCACATATACACACAAATGTATTCACATTCGCATATGCATAGACACATATGAACACATCCATATATACATATGCATGTGTATGCATATACATAGCTGAATAATAAATGCTGTTCCATGCCAATTGTTGCTTATACTGTTATATGATAGCTATATCTGATTAAACTTGCATGTATCTGTTTTAACCTTGAGTGAGTCAAGATTCCTTTTTGATAACAAAGCAGCTGATTTATCATATGTAGATATTTTGTTACATCCCAATCCTAGGGCAAGAACATATATTTTATGTCCAGAAAGACATCTTACAAATATACAAATAACACACAACCATAATCTGAAACAGAAAACACTTAACAAGTCATTAAACTTACAGACCAAACAAATTCTATGCATAGAATGAAAACATTGCTAGTCCACTAGGTGCATATATAGTTAACCAAGGTTCTAAATACCAAAGTTGGATTGAAAAGAGAAAAAAAAACTAAAATCCAGATAATTTTGATCAATGGGGTAGATAATAACAACCATTGTGTCAAATACAAGTCTGTCTAACCATATTGTTTGGTACTGGTAGGTATTTAATTCTTTAATTCCTTTAGCTGATACTGGGTAATATATGCACACTGATATCATACCCCTTGTAGATTATGAACCAATATTTGTCTGAGAGTTAAAACCTTGCTAAAGGAATTAACTAAGGTTCTAAACATGTCTAACCATTGAAGAATCCAAAAAAGAAAAAAGGATAAAAAAAGAATTTCCAGCCATTTATACCTGTAGAGAATTCTCTAAATTGAAGTTCACAAAAACTTGCATCCTGAATATCTTGCAAAAAGGATTGGGCTCACTATTTATAAACAGTTAAAGGGTAATATAATGAGGATAAAACTAATTAGTGATTGTACCATGGAATGATGTTTTGTTTGGATCGGTACAAAATGGGTGGTGCATCGGTCGGAGTGTTAATCGAGACGTAGATGATCCTTGTTTCGAGTAGCCTTGTCTGACCCATTAGAAAAAAAGGTTTACCCATCAATTAGGGCTCGCAAACGCAAGTCGAGGCCTCTTCTATGAACACAGGAAGTGCAGAATGCCATCCACTGCTGCCTACCTTCGTCACCCACTATGTGTTGTTGATTGCAGGTATGCTTCCTCTTCTCTTCGTCTCCTCCTCTTCCTCTACCGCCACTACCTCCTCTTCTTCCTTCACCTTCTTCCTTTTTCCTCCTCCTCCATAGCTATCTTCCCTTCTAGACATTTGTTCCTTCCTCTTCAGTGATTTAAAAAGCGCTAGGTGCCAAAAGGCACCAAGGTTCCAAAATGCCCAAGGCGCTCAGGCGCTCGCTCGAGCGAAGCAACGCACTTTAAAATATTATATATAATATTATTAAACTAATAAATAAAGATTATTTTGTATAGTTAATAAGGTCATTTAGTCCCACATTGATTGAGGAGTATGGGAACCAAGGGCTCATAAGTCCGCCAGGTCTCCCTTACCCTCAGAGGCGCCTTTTGGAGCTCACATGCTCCGAAAGGACAAAACTGTACGGGTACACCCATCGCCCAAAGCGGATAATTCCTCGCGAACCTACGGGCCGCACCAATGGCCGACCGACCAAATTGTCCCTTATTAGATTGGTGCTAGAAGGAGGGCCCGAGGCCTACACCTCGGCCGAGAAAACTCGCTCCCGAGCCATGCACACCTTGGCTATAAGCCCTTGGCTCTCCTATGGGAGGGAGCACTGATAAAGCCATTTAGTCCCACATTGGTTGAGGAGTATGGGAACCAAGGGCTCATAAGTCCGCCAGGTCTCCATTACCCTCAGAGGCGCCTTTTGGAGCTCACATGCTCCGAAAGGTCAAAACCGTGTGGGTACGTCCATTGCCCAAAGCGGACAATTCCTCGCGAGCCTACGGGCCGCACCAATGGCCGATCGACCAAATTGTCCCTTATCAGATTGGCGCTAGAAGGAGGGCCCGAGGCCTGCACCTCGGCCGAGCAAACTCGCTCCCGAGCCGTGCACCTTGGCTATGAGCCCTTAGCTCCTTTACGGGAGGGAGCACTGATAAGGCTATTTAGTCTCACATTGGTTGAGGAGTATGAGAACCAAGGGCTCATAAGTCCGCCAGGTCTCCCTTACCCTTAGAGGCGCCTTTCGGAGCGCATATGTTCCGAAAAGACAAAACCGTGCAGGTACGCCCATCGCCCAAAGCGGACAATTCTTCGCGAGCCTATAGGCCGCACTAATGGTCGACCGACCAAATTGTCCCTTATCAGATTGGCATTAGAAGGAGGGCCCAAGGCCTGCACCTCGGCCGAGCAAACTCGCTCCCGAGCCGTGCACCTTGGCTATGAGCCCTTAGCTCCCTTACGGGAGGGAGCACTAATAAGGCCATTTAGTCCCACATTGGTTGAGGAGTATGGGAACCAAGGGCTCATAAGTCTGCTAGGTCTTCCTTACCCTTAGAGGCGCTTTTTGGAGCTCACATGCTCCGAAAAG